CCTAAGATGTAAAGAAATATGCTAACTTTGAGAATTTAAACATTTTTTTGCAAAGATATGGATACTTTTAGGCTAAACAAATTATTGGGAAGCGATCATCTAGGCACTACGTGATCAGGAAGAGATATCAGAAATTATTTTCTATGGTTACAAGAGAAGGGGTGACGCAAAATGGCCTTATCTGCTCTGGTCCCTTGGGCATCGGTGTTGGTGAGGCTGTGGTTGAAATGTAGATTCACATGCACATCCATATCTACACTTGGGGATGTGCAGTTTCAGTGAAAATACTGAAAAACTGGCAGTTATTTACTGACAGTGAGTGCACTGGAGCACTGACTACACTGGTACAGTGACACCGGAACACTAAAGACACTGGAACACCGACTTTTACTGGCATATCAGACATATCTATATCAGTAAAAGTTGGTGTTCCAGTGTCTTCAGTGTTCCAGTGTACACTGTACTAGCGTAGTCAGTGCTCCAGTGCACTCACTATCGGTGACGTCGGTGATCAGTAAACTGAAACTGCATATCCCTACCTATACTAGAGATGACCGTCTCCATGGAAACAAGTTATCGTAGGACCCTTAAACTGTTCACGTAATTTTCGGATTATTTCAAAAATTACTTGCAGAGTCCACCAAATTTTTAAAATAATTCGAAAATTACGTAGACATTTTAGGGGCCCCACGAGGACTTGTTTCCATGGAGATGCCCATCTCTGACCTACACCCAGACCTACGCCTGAAGTGTTATTAATCTATCTCCTCATTAACAAAAACTTGTTCGAAAATATTTTTCTGTCAGAGTGCTTAGAATTAAAAGATCTACAAGCACGGAAAACCATCCAAATCGATAACCATTTTTGTACGAAAGTCTGAAATTCCACGGATTGGAGACTTTTCGAAAAATCTATGAGCAGTTTACTGGCCATTTTGAACCCCTTCTCTTGTAACCATAGAAAATAATTTCTGATATCTCTTCCTGATCACGTAGTGTGTAGATGATCGCTTCTCAATAATTTGTTTAGCCTAAAAGTATCCATATCTTGGCAAAAAAATGTTTAAATTCTCAAAGTTAGCATATTTCTTTACATCTTAGGCGTGTTAGCATTTTTCTGATTCATCTTAAATCCTTTTCACGTGTTTCAATCAAAATAACAATGGATACTGATGGGGATCTGTACCTAGGGGTGTCAGATTAGCATTAGCATTGCATTAATTAATACTATTTTTAATGCTTTTGTATTAGAGTTAAAAAATTAACTTAATGCTTTTGCATTACGGTTAAAAAAATGATTTAATGCTTTGGTATTAGTATTAGAAAAGTATTAATCTAATGGTAATGCTTAGGGTTCCTAAGAACAGAACAAAATTGGTTGCTTATGAGAATTTTTTTTCCCAAAACAGAAGAATTTTGTTCTGTTATGGGAAGGCGTTCAAAAAAAAGAACGAAATTGTTCTGTTATGGGAAAAAATTCCCATGAGAGAACGATTTTGTTTTGTTTTTTGGGAACCATAAGCATTACCGTTAAGTTAATACTTTTTTAATACTAATACCAAAGCATTAAGTTATTTTTTTAGCATTAATGCAAAAGCATTAAGTGAATTTTTTAATTTCAATGCAAAAACGTTAGCGTTTTCTTAACACTTATGCTAAGCCGACACCCCTATCTGTACCACTGAAGTAGAATCGCACAAAACATTTCCATTGTACACAACATCTATCTTTCAAAAGAGGGCTTCTGACTTATGGAACTTAAATGTACTGATATAGGATATAATGGCAAAAGTTAGAAATTCTTAGTTTTTTTTTATAGAAATCCGCTTTCATCCAAAAAAAGACCACCCAAGTGCTTTAAGGGCCCCCTCAGGATCAATTTGCCATTTACGGTTATCTGGTTGGGCTGAAATTTCCAGGAATAAGTGGCCTTAGTAAGATGCGCTTCTGATAAAAAATTCAGCCCTGGTGGTCAAATGATACCAAATTTCCAGCTGATTCAGAGCCCATTTTTGGGCTTCAGAAGAAATGTTATAGCCTACTTGCTACAAGAGAAACAGAGTTTGGGGTGGTTTCAAATTAAAACAAATATCACTGCACAGATTTTATTTGAACAGAATTTTTAAATTTCCTATTATTCATTTTTATGAGTATTTTAGTAGATATGTCTTAAAATTAGTATACAAAATGATGGCCCAACGACAGTTTCCCATTTTTCTCAGGTCAGAAATGGTAGGTGTGGATGTCGTGTGTGGATGGGTGTTGGCGGGAGTGGAGGTGGAATGTGAGTGTGGATGCGGGTGTGGATGTGGAGTGTGGATGGGTATTGGTGTGGGTGAGGGTGGGGTGTTGGGTGGGATGTGAGTGTGGATGCGGGCGTGGGTGTGTTTGCAGTTTCAAAGAAGAGCCACAGTCACACCCCACACCCTCCATACAAACATTACAATTTTTCATCTTCTCCAGCTTTAAGAAATTTCAAGAAATACGATGAGCTAACTATGCTAATATATAGGCTAAGGTTACTACTTCACTACACTATTATCCGATATGCTGCTCAATTCTGCTTGCATGGAAAAAAATGATCATAATATTGACGTGTTCACTATAAGTGACTATAATGTACGTCTCTATAACGTTATTGGTTAATAAAGAACTACTTTGAATATATGATTTTTATACTCTTAGATAGGCATTAGATATATGTATTCATAGTAATTAAAATCAGTGGCTAATCATTAAATTGTGAAGGCGAACAGTACAGCCGAAAATAGGCACTTTTGCTATTTTCTCATATTTTGCATAATCTCATATCGTTCCAATTCTTGTATGAGTAATATGAATTAGCTGATATACTCATGTACAAAATCTAATAGCTTTGTATTACACATCTATCTATAAAATGCCAACTATCGTTCGTAGTCAGGAAAAACTCAATACCCCAAAACGATGCAAAATCATGTGAACGGCCATTGTAGACAAAGAAGGTATTATTTTATGGTTTTAAAGGAAACATGGTGTCGATTGAAATTTATTAGAATTTTTTTTATCAAAGGCCATTGGTATTCAAAGTTTCAACCGCTGAAATGTTCAGCTTGAATGCTGAAGGTCACCGTAAACATGGGTGATTTCCAGAGAAACTACTGTATAGTCGTACGTGATTATCCAAAACACCTTAAAGCTCTGTAAAAATCAACACTTTCGAATATTGATAATGAGATTTAATTTCAAGGTTTGCTGGTGTAATTAATAATGTGTATTCACTTGTTTTATTCGATGTCTAGTTGGGTGTCATTTGCATGAGGGTGCTAAAGCGTTAGAGTCATGATACCCGTACTAGCGAGGTGACATATAATTAGAGTGTGCTAGTGAAATGGATTATACTGTCACCGAGTTCAATGAATGAGAATAAGAATGGATGACTTAGAGATGTTGCTTGAACCTATTGCTTATCCTCACTCATCCTCGTCTGTCCTCATCTTTTTCATGGAAATAAGTGAATTTGTCCCGCCAAAAGACGTACCCTTAGTGCTGATAGAAGCGTAAAAAAAAAAGGTGATTCTGTATTAATAAATATCACCTTGTTCTTTGTTAAGTAGAATTCGTTCGTTGTTGTTTTTGGCACAAGGATTGTATACTGAACCCCAAAACATGGTTGGTTAGTTTAGTCAGGATACCATAATGACCCATTCTTAGTACACGAGTTTCCCATTTCAATGAGATGCTCGATTGTAGCTCGGTTGCTGTGATAGTAATCTAGACTTTTTGCGACAATATGTGCACGTATTGCTTCAAATAAATCATAGTCACCTGTTTTCTGTCCATGATAATTTGGTGGAAAATCCCATTGTCCACGATATCGGAAACCTCGAAAGACTTCCATTTTCCATGCACAAGAAGAATGCAGTATATTACCGCCAAAAGGCCCGGACCAATTGTTGACTCGATCTTGCAGTACTATTATAGGTGGATACGGATTACCGCTGCTACTACAATGGTACCCTTTAGTCCATGCAAAAACGACCGATGGGAAGCGTATGAAGATCGATAGCAGTTCATTCAGATGTTCCGTAGACCAGATATCGTCATCATCAAGGCTCACAACATATATTTTGCAATTTGGTTCACAATTATTGTGGTGCTGCTCAGCACGCTGTAATGCATTGTTCATGGCCACAACACCACCACTTTGCCACAACTGAGTGCCAGTCAAATTACCTCGTTCTCCAGGTTCCGGTAGGTTATGAAGAAACAACTTTGATGACGGTATACTCGTGAAAAGTGAACGAAACTCTTGTTCATTTTCGTATTTGTCCCCAGTAACGAATAGTTCCCAGTTGGAGTATGACTGAGAAAGTATTGATCGAACCGACTTTTTTATGTAGTGTGGTGATCGACCATTTTTTCGCATATAAGACGCCATAATGATGATAAACAAAGGATAACGACAAGTTTCTAATGCTGTTGCATTCATGGGAGCAAGACGCCTCGATGAACGTAAATAAATCATATACAATAAAATCAAAACAGTTATCATGCAGGCGATGAATGTCGTGGCAAAGGATCTATTGATTAACATGATATACCGCACACGAAATCGGTAATCAAGATGAATGGAAAATTAATTGTTATCAAATATAATATTACGGACACTTAGCAATATTAATGAAGAAGAACAGCAACTTAATAACACAGCCATATCGTAGTTGTTCATGGTATAATAACAAGATGTACCAGAGAGCTTGCATTTCTTTTTACAAGGTAAACAAAATTCAAAAAAAACAGCAGCCACTAAAAATGTCTATTTTTTGTAGACATAAAGAGTGTCTCATAATAACTGAGGATAAATTGTCAACGACATTTTTCATAGTTCTTGTTCTCCCGAAAAAAAGTTTCCTTGAAAATCCAAATCCTCTTGAAAACTTCTTGGCAAGCCTCCAAAGGTTTGTAGGAAGGTTTCCAGACACTTGAAGTGTTTCTTAAAATACCTTCTTAGTTTCCAAAGATTGCGAAACCCTTAAGTTTCCGAAAATACTGATTTCGATACCCGCAAATTATTTTAGAATACTTTTCACTTGCTATCGGAAATCTAATAGTATTTTCGGAAGCCATTAAAGTATTATAGGAAACTAATACAGCCAGAAAAACTAAGTTGATATCTGAAAAGATTTGCCGAGATACCTTTTTGGTTGTCGGAAAGTGTTTGAAAACCCTGAATTTCAAAAGGCAAAAAGAAAAACTAAAATCCATTTTTGGAGTTGTAAAAATTTTCAAAATGTTTCACGCAAAGATCGTGATCGGAGTCCAAACATTTCTCAAAATTACATTTTTCGTTCTCGAAGTCAATTTTTCATTTTTTTTGCGCTCAGTTTTAGAGCATTTTCGTTAACTTAGAACTGTTCATATATTTAATACAACTTATTTAATTACTTAGAATTTTTTCATCGCATCATTGCTTTTTCGAACTCTGAAACTACTCTGTACTTACGAAATAATCTACGGTTATCTTTACATTCTTGAGTCAGTGCCTATTTGAAATATACCGTCTATCCGGTTTATCGTTTCGATCGGAAACGATAAAAAAAATCGTACACCTTCGTGACCAACTTCCATGTACGGCGTAATTTCGAAAGCAATTCAACACACCTACGGGAGAACAAATTTCGATCTGCAGAAATTGACTTCGACAAGATCCACACAAAACTATACTCTACATTCTTCATTCAATGGACCCTTTTTTGTACATCAACAAAGTACATTATTTTCTAAGGTGTTTTGTTAGTCCCTTTCTATGCTTCTCAATCTACACCGCTTAATCTTATAGGGCTAAATGTGCACGGCTTAATCTATACGGCTTAATCTTGTACGGCTTAATCTGGTACGGCTAAATGTGTATGGCTTAATCTTGTGCGGAGTGTGGGTGTCAGGTGTGGGATGTGGGTCTTCTTTTTACGCCGACACGCACACGGACACGCACACCCACATCCCATACAAGATTAAGCCGTACACGTTTAGCCGCACAATATTAGGCGGCACAGATTTGCACGTATAGATTAGATCGTGCGGATTTAGACGTATAAAAAGGACATAGAGAAATAACTTATGTAACTGAAATATGTGTTTTTAGATTTAGCAGTACTTCTAGTTTCTCTGAGAAATGACGTGTTATTTTTTTATCATCGTTTCTCAGAGAAATCATAAGGCGGATTATATGTAAATATATGAGCCATTTCGCATAAGCCACGACCGACCCTGCTCAATCGGAGTCGTTAGATTTTGCTCAATTTAAGATATGTTGTAGAGGGAAGAGTTCTAAGAATTTGGATGCAAGCCGTTTGAAAAAATCTTGTCCCGTTGTCGAGATATTTAATTTTTTCCGATGGCTCTATCGCCGAAAAGGACGTAAGAGAAGTTAGCATCTGATTCAGGTTTTCTCCGTTCGATTCGCCTACTCAACTGTGTAATGTCTGATTTGGCATGTGCCAGATAGAGCTTGACAAACTCTATCATAGAGTAAAGGACGAGGGACGTTTTATGGACATTTCGACCCAATTAGAAAGTGAAATTAGATTTACGTGAAACTTTCACCAAATATCCAACACAGTGATACTTGTCGTCCCTGAAAATTTCAGCTTGATCGGTTAAACGTTTCTTTTACTTCCCTCCATGAGGTTCATAGTCCCCTAAATAGGGATAAAAGGACTCCAGAGTGAACCTTGTGGGCCTTGGTTCTCTACTATTTGATTCAGACTCAGAGCCATTTTTCTAGGGTCATTAGCAATCAATAAATACTAGAATATTGTAAAGACAAGAGGTTGCAGAAAACCTGCCCTTGCACCAACATGAAGTAGACAGTTTTCTAAAAATGGATAAAAAGATCTCGGAGTAAACCTTGTGAACCTTCGTTCTCCACTGTTCGCTTGAGATCCATAGCTACTTTTGAAGTATTAACAGGAATTATCAAGACCTGATGAATTGCAAAAGCTAGAGACTATGAGAATAGTGCCAAGGTTTCCATCATATAGGAGACACTATGGATAATGCTTGATGGTGGTGGGAGGGGGGGGGGCAATATAGTAATGTCTACCATTGGATGTTTAACATTTCACTATTTTCTGCCGAGTTTCAAGAAACGTAAGCATCGCTTATAAAGATGGTCTTGACGACATCGATTACCTTCCGGAAAAAAAGATTAATTTTGATGAATGAAAGTTGTTGGTGTTTTTCAGAAACACTATGAAATGTTGAATTTTGAAATTTTCGACAAACCGAACACTGTATACAAAACGAAGTGTTCGATTTTCGTAATTTATCTTCAGTTAAAGCGTACCAGTGAGACGAAAGGGCCACATACATCGGTAAGGTTGCGATATGTCTATTCATTGGATCATGTAATGGGGTGTCTGTTACAAGTTCAATATCCTCATCATCCTTCTGCACAGAAGTAATTGCAGAGATAATGGTACATGTACTGTTAGAAAATTTCACTTCATTGCCACCATCGACAATACTTCCATTTGATTTTTCCTCAACAGGATGAAAGATGCTAATGAATTCAGTATCGGTTCGCTAGTTCCGATGCCACATAAGAGAAACGTTACATATTGATACAGGGTTTGATAAAGGCTTGTTTCTTCTTGCCGAGACAAAATGACCTATTGTAGTACTATCAAATGGATCCCGATTCATTGACTATCTACGAGCAGCGTAACAAACGCAATGGTTAGGCATTTTACACATAAATGATGCTTCGTTAGATGAGTGAAAAGTAATTACCTTTTTTCTCTACTTATCGCTCCTTCTACAACAACGGAATTCACGCATGTTGATGGCCTATTTGTGGATATCACACGAGCAAATATTTAGACTAATATCAATTCCCTACTTTTTTCAGTCATCAAAACAAAGCTTTAGAAGTATGGCGTGGTCTATCCCCAATGAAATTCGGAAGCATGTTCTCAGGAAATCTTATAATATTTTCTAATCTTTGTACAAATGTACTACATGACAACTGTTATTTATATGTGGCTCATTAACACGTCGTCCCCTCTAGCAAACATTAAACAAAGCTAGAGGAGAAAAGTTACCGTTAAGTTACCAGATAACAGAAAAGGTGCCAATTACTTTTCCGTGTACCTTTTAAAAATTACGAGTGATCACTTCCATTGGACCAAATATCGCCAATCCGTCAATTTTTCAATTTGTGAATATCAAGTAACTCGTAACTTTATTAAACGATATATTCGCGATATTCGGTCGCATCGAACAGATAATTCGTCTTTTAGAAAAGTTAACTGGAAAGGTAACTGGTAACTTTTCCGTTATGCTTTACTCAGTAACACTAACTTTTTCGTTACCAGCTATCCCGTAATGTAACTGATTGGCAACGGAAACTTGTCACCTCTAGCAAAACGGCTTCAGTTAGATGATCTGTGTTTCACGCTGACAATTGAACTCAGGGATCTTCGATTTAAGAACATAGCTGTTACCATTAGAATATTCGCACATCTGATAACCAGTCATAAACAGTATTGTCCTTGCAACTACATTGATATATTTGCATTCCGTTTTGTATGGAACTTCGACGAATTCAGTTATTCAAGCTATGCAGAAAGTAGTCAGATCATTATCATCCGGAAACAAAAATTAGTACACAGTTCTAACAAATTTGCGCACAACCTCTTGTCCCATGGGCAAGCAGACAGCTCCTTTCAAGCATCTGCTTTTCCCATTTGCTTCAATCTGATGATTGCTACTGATGCTAAAAAATATTTCCAGACCTGAATGAAATGGAAGGGAATGAATATTGACAAGGTTCACTCTGAACTCCTTTTATACCTATCTAGGAAACTGTCTACTTCACGTTGGTACGAGGACAGGTTTTTTTCTACCTCTTGGTTTTACAATATTCTAGTACTTATTGATTGCTAATGACCCTAGAAAAATGACTTCGGGTCCTAATCAAACGGTGGAGAACGAAGATTCACAAGGTTTATGGATGCGGATGTGGGTGTAGGTGTGGGTGTGAGTGGGTGGGTGTGGATATGAGTGCGGGTGTGTGGATATGGGTGTGGGAGTTCAAAAGAGATAATCCGACACATACCCACATCAGTACCTCATGCACTCACCCACACCAGCACCCCATACACGCATCCACACCCACATCCATATTTCACGCACGATCGTCCTACATGAACGCACACTGCACTAGCACATGACTGGTTACTTAGTAATCGTATTAGATGCATGGATAACTATCCGGCTGTTAGTCCTGATCTCAATGCTGTTGAGAGTGTGTGGTCTTGGATGAATCGGCACGTGTAAAGAAATCATTAACACTCTCAAGAACATTTAGAACGGTTAGTTTAGCAAGCATGGAACACGATTTCTCAAGACGTCATAAGTGGGTATATAAATAATATACCGAATATTTGTAATCAAATAATAGCTAATCATGGCAGGGAAAGTCCAGGATGATAAAGACTTTCATGTACTTTCAGATTGTATATT